GCATTGTGCACGGGCCTGGCCATTACATGGCTATTGTACACGCCTCTGACCATTGGGAAGTGTGGAACGACGGTGTCATGGTCCATGCCATGATTGATATTACTGATTTCTTACTCTATGATGCTGTTCTCTTGCCACATCAAACTGTCCGCAATCTCCTTTATGTCGAAGATCATTCCTCTGCCACCGCAGTGCAGCAGTACAATGTACACACACTATGTGACCTTCTCCTTTGTACAGCCACAGACACTGTTGCACTTGGGTGTACTCGCCATCACTACCATGAGATGGTTTCTGCATCCATGTGTGTACAGGATTGTCCCTCCGTTCGTGACTGCAGGCACCTCCTCATCCGGACACTATATGTCCATTTTGTGGCCACGGACGCTATGCTGAATGCATGCTCTTTTGTGGGGGGCGTTCTTCCTTTATTCTGGCCTGCAATAGACATGCTATTTGTGAGGAATGTATGGTTGGCATGCTTAATGCCAGCCGTCGTGGCAGTTGTTGTTTTGAGAATGCTCAGTTAGGTCTTCCATGCGCTCATCCACCCCATCCTTACAATGTGTGTCCTTTCTGTCGTCAAGGACAGCCTCATTCTTGAGCTTTTTCTTGCCATTTCCTTTGCCCTCTTCCTCATTCTACACTCCGTATTTTCCCTCTTCCATTCTTTGTTTGTCCTCTCTCTGTCTCTTTTCCCCATGTTTAACACCTTCCCCTTCACTCTGCCTCTCTCACAGCGTGCAAGTGGGCTGTTATGGCATACGGGGATGGGGGCAGCTCGCGCTCAACTTGATCAACGTGGCGAGCCTTGCACGTGAGAGGCACAGTGGAGGTGGAATTCAAAGGGGAATGAGAAATTTAATGGTTTCAATCTGCCCTTGCTTTTTCTTTTTCTTTTTGTTTTTATTTTTGCAATGTGACCGTTTTTTGTTTTTATTCTTTGTTTCGCAAAGTGCGCTCTTTTAGTTTGTAGTTATGTGACAATATATATATATATCTATTTGTGACGATATATATATATAAACAGTTTGTCACAGCCCCTCGTTTGTTGTCCTCTTCTCTCTCTTTGCCTACGGTTTACCGGGCAGTTCTGTTTGTGACGATATATATGTGCCGATATATATATATACTAGCAGGCTCTTCTTTGGTTATGGTAGAAAATATTTTTCTGATTCTCTTTCTCTCTTTCTTATTCTGGCATTCTTTTTTGCTTTACTCTTCCCCATTGTTGGGGTGTTTTGTTTTGCGGACCTACTGTATGGCTCCGTTCTTTTACTATGGATATGGTAGAATCTGTTTTGGTGGTGATTTTGGCACCCTTGTCTGCATCCCGGTTGGTTTAGCTCTGTGGCGGTGATTTCATGTGGGACTTGTCAGCCGGGTTTTTTCTTATCTTTTTGGCATTCTAGGTGGTTGTTTCCCGTTGTTCGGCCTGTGCGTAGGGGGCGGTGCTTTTTTGTGGGAATCGACATCTAGGATTGTCTTTTATGTTTTTTTTGCTGTTGGTGGTGTCCCAGTAATTTAGTTTAGACCAGCGAAATGGTGATTTGACAGTTTAAATCGATACCAATTTTTGCAACAACAACAACAAAATAACAATCGCGAAGGATTCTTGGAGCTGGCGCGCACGAAAGGTATGTTATCTGGGATTGTTTGTTTGCAGGCAAGGGTGTTTTTGAATCCTGGTTGGTCTTGTCCCGTTGTTTGGCCCTGATGGTGGGGGCGGTGCTTGCATGTGGGACTTGTCATCTAGGATTGGTTTATGTTTGTTTCCCCCTGTTTTGTTGTATTTGGCTGTTCCCTTCCTCTTTTCTTTGCCTCTTTGCCTTTTGGCTGTGTGCAAGTGGGTCGATATGACACACGAGGTGGGGGCAGCCGCCGCTCAACCTACATCCATGTGGGGGGCCTTGTACGCAAGAGGTTCTGAACAGGGGGAGTTCAAGGAAAAAGATAAAAAAATGATTTTATTTTCTTGTTTTCTTTATGTTTTTCTTCACTTTTGCGCTCTGATATCTTGTGACTATATATATGTATATATACATATCGGTTCATTGATGATGTTCTTACCTTTGATTGTCTTCCACCATCATCAGCCCATTATGGTCTTGAATGGAAGGAGACCACTGCGGCAGATGGCTCGTGCACCTTCTTAGGTGCAAAACTGCAGACACGAGCAGACGGATCTCTCAGATTGAGTGTGTTTGATAAGACCGTTGCATGGGATTTTCCTGTTATACGATATCCTAGTGCAACGTCGAACATTCCATCTCATCAGCCTGCAGGTGTGTTCACTGGCCAGCTTACGCGGTTTGAGCAGAT